GGAGTACGCTGGAGGTGGAGACCTGAAGCAGTTTATTGATGTCAGGTTCATCTCTGCCGAGATCCTCTGTGGCCTTCGCTTTTTGCATCACAATGGCGTTGTGCACAGAGACCTGAAACCAGCAAATATTCTGCTGGACAGTCGCGGCCACATCAAGATCAGCGACTTTGGCCTGGCATTAACAAACATGTCTAAATGGAAGACGTCTCAGCAATATGCTGGTACTCCACATTTCTGTGCTCCAGAGGTCATTCAATCTAGGCCATACAACTGGCTGGCAGACTATTTCTCCTTCGGGATTATAGTCTGTTTAATGGCAGTGGGCACATACCCATTTAATCTTAAACGGACGGCAGAAGAACTTCGGCGTTCCATATGCAAAGACAAGCCACGGCTTCCCAGAAAAACTGAGCGCGTTGTCCGGGACTTCATATTGGGTGTAAGTAAATGCAAACCTGTAGCCTTGCTAGGACAATGTTTATTTTTTCACCCTCCTAATAGTCCTATGTTCTTTTTATTAACAGCTTCTAGCCAAAGAACCAATAACCCGTAGCACAGCGGTCAGCAAGCTTCCCAACCATCCATTTTTTAGTGGTATAGATTGGGAAGAAATACTCAGTGGGAACGCCTGCCCGCCATGTTTGCCCTAGGTTGAGGGAAATAGTGGAATAAAAGGCATTTTTTTACCACCACCGGTGGTATAAAAAGCATGTTGCCATCGTTGGCGGCATGCTTTTTATGCCACCGGGTGGCATAAAAAGCATCTCGCCTCTAGTGCCATGAAAAGCATGCTGCCACTCCAAACACAACATCAGACAGGCTGCTCCATGACATCAGCTCCATCGATCTGTTGACAAGTGCTTTGGTGTCCTGGTTATGATAAATACAATATGCTTTCAGAGAAGATGGAGTCACTTCTTCAACAGATCGAGCTTTGTCACCAACATACCAAACAGAAGAGCTAAACCGATACCGGGACACCGGGACTCCATCTTTACACTGAAAATTTGTTACAAAAATTAAAAAAATATTTAAACTTAATATAAAAATGGTTTTCTTTACATTTTTGGAGGGAAACAGGAATACAGTCATTTTTGAAAATATGGGTTATGTAGTTACCTAGAGGAGGGCACTGGGAAACAAAAGAAAAAAAAAACATTAAAAGCCAGCCCCCCATGCAACCCCGGCCCTAACCGTCATGCTTCTTAGATACTGTATGTGGGAAGTCAAAAAGCAGTCCAAACGAGGGGTGGGTAACAGCCACTAAGAAATACAGTGGACATGGAAACCTTGCTAGGAGAATATCCAAAGGAATCAATGTCTGAAAAAGGCTAGCTGAAAAAAAGGGAAAGCAATACATAGAAAAGCACAAGGAAAGTTCCAGGGAGTAAGCTGGTGATCCAGAACAGGGCAGGTAGCACTGCTATATCAGGTGAAAATCAGACACCACCTTAGGGAGCAAGGAGGCTTCATGGCAGAAACCACTTGATCCATATTTATTGTGGACAACAAGGAAAGGCTTCTTGCAGGTCAACGCTGCAAATTCAGAAAACCATCTTGCAGAAGTTATGGCAACAAGGAAGGCCACCTTGGCACCGGGGTTCCTAGAAATGGATTTTGACCATACAGATAAGGTCTGAAAAACTGACATAGTTAACAAAAAAATATATATATAAAACTAAACTTAATCTCATTAAGTCTCAATAACCATATTGGCTAAAGACATGTGCCTATGTGTGGTTATGCTCTTTATTATCTAACTTGATTCTTTCAAGATATGATTTGAAATGTTTTATATTTTATGAGTAACCTGTACACCTACGCTTATGCTGAATCTGTATTCTTTTGTCATTAAAAATGTAAAACTTAAATAAGGAATTAATTTTAAAAAAACTAAGGGTTTGATAGCAGGGCCTGCAAGTGCAAACAGTGCTTTAAATAGGGATTGTAGCCACTTGTCTGCCGGGTCCTTAAAAGACAGGAGAGTTCTCAATAGGGACAGTGAGTGTCTTGTTCAGCAAGAAATAGCCAGTCCACAACTGGGACCACCCACTTCTTAAAGGAAGCCATCCTCAATAGGATATTAAAGGGCAAACTTGCTTTTTTAGGATACTCCCAGCCCCATACAACACCATTGAGTGAACCTGTATTAAGAAGGGGATGCATCCTGTATTAAGAAGGGGATTTATTGCAGAGACAAGTCTATAATTGTGCCACTTTATAGATCGCTGGTCCGGCCTCATCTGGAGTACGCAGTCCAGTTTTGGTCTCCAGTACTCAGAAAAGATCGTCTTTTGAACGATTTCCTGAGGTACCGTAATATACAGGGGTACAAGTACTCCTAAGAATGAGATGATACATGGACCTAAACATATACGCACACATCGGCAATAGGTTGGACTTGATGGACTTATGTCTTTATTCAACCTCAAATACTATGTAACTGTGTAACCCCCTCAGCTCTGATCAATGGGGTGAAGTAAAGACTATTGTTTAACCAGTTTCCGGAGCAAGTTTTGTCACCCTGGTTTCATATTGACTAGAATATGTAATTAAAGAGCGGGAGGAGATTTGGCTTTATGCAAATAGAACCACAATCAACTTTCAATATGGAATACCTAACAGCACGTTTGCAAAACACCTTGCCTAAATGTGACAAAACTCGGTCCCCCTGGCTGTGTATGGACTTTTCTATTTAACTTTTTTTTTTTTTCCCTCAGTATGGTTCCTCTCTGCGGGTTTTGGGAGGGTTTCTATCCAGATGGGGGTTTGTGTATCCCCCTCTCATCTGTTTCTTTTCTTTCCTCTCTCTATCTTTCCTTTTCCTTTCTTTCCCCATCCGTTTTCTTGTTCCCATTTTGCTTACCATACATTGTCATATGCTTACGATGTTGACTTTTATCTAAAATGAATGATTAAGTATCTGTTCTGATAGTTAAGCCTAACGTATACTTTGACCATGATACACTTTGTACCTTACCCCACATATTTCAAAACTATGTTTTGATAACTGTCATTTTCCACTTCTTGTTCTGTTACTTTTTTTTAATAAATAGAAGAAATAAAGTAGGGCTGTTACTGATTAAAATGATCGTGTTCGATTAATCGAATTTTTTTTGAATCGATTAATTTCGATTAATTATAACGCACATACAGATCCAACTACATTGGCCTATACACTTACAGCACAGCAATGAAGTAATAAAATGAACTAGGATCACACTAATCCAGCACGGTATTGATCTCACGTGCCCCACTCAATATGGCCGCCTGTTGAGTGGGGCAACTCAGAATAATAATAACGTGCTGGATTAGTGTGATCCTAGTTCATTTTATTACTTCATTGCTGTGCTGTATGTGTATAGGCCAATGCCTTGGCTGGCGCTCATGCAGAAAGTTTAAAAAAAAATGTAATCGATCAAAAAAATTTCAATCGATCAAAAAGATTAACGATTAATTTCTTGATTAATCGTTAATTTGCACAGCCCTAAAATAAAGAATATATAGTTAAATGTTCTTGTAATTGGCATACCCCGCGACATTCAGTTTGTTTAAGCTGTTACCTCTGTATGTCTTGCAGATGAATGTGCCAACAGAAGTGAAAATCAACCTCATTAACATGCTATCAGAGTCTGGGTTGAAATCCATTGAGGCAACAAGCTTTGTATCTCCTAAATGGGTTCCTCAGGTATGTATCTTTACTGAGTTGTAGAATGCAAAGTAACAGAGAAGAATATTTTCATAGCATTCTTTATGTAGGTCTCCCTTACTGAGCCGCAGCATATTTGTTTAAAGGGAATGCATATAGTGGTTTATACCTATTTTATTTCTTCATGTATTTCTGGACTGGTATGTTCAGCTATTTCAATTCCGTTTTGCTGAAAGAAAACTTCACCACAGTGACTTATCCCTAATTGGACTACTTAGTAGAGGAAGGTTTGAATCAGAGAAATGGAGCTTCAAAGTAAGCTTTGTTCACTGCACTGCCTCTTTTGCTAATCCATAGTGCTTTAGGAATCTATTGCCATGTGTTAAATATTTATTTGTAAAATAAAGGTAACAGATATATAACAAAAGTTTAAAAAATTGATGATCTCATATACACTACAGAGGCACTGTTTTGTAGGGCTCAGTGAACCATGTCAGGGGCCACTCCTGGTGCAATCCTGCTGCACTGAAGAAAAACAAATGCAGGTGTTGTGTAAGTGTCCTTTTAAACAGTCTAACAGTTAAGCAAAATTACCAAGGCAGGAAAGACAGTCCTGATACATGTGTTTCAACTGTGTATTGAACATTTTACTTGGAATTCAGCTTACTGGCTTTCACGTGTCCTAGCCCTCTAAATTGCTAATAATTACTAAGGCATGCACTGTAAGTGCTATTCACAAGTGTGAAGTACTAATTTTAATAAGAATGTTTGTTTGATTAGATGGCAGATCATGTAAAAGTCATGGAAGGAATAAAGAAGTATCCCAGTGTCAGTTATCCTGTCCTGACACCGAACCTCACTGGATTCCAGACAGCGGTAAGTTCTAAATTGACATACAGTGGTAATGGGGTGTGCTTATATATGATGAGATATGATCACCTGGAGACAGTGCTGGGACAAGGCCTTCTGGCATGCAAAGCAAGGATGCCAAAGTACACACACCCCTTTCTCCCCTTGGATCCTGCTATGTACACAGGTACAGTGACTGGGCTGATGCAGAAATGACAGCCTCTGTCCACCAGCCTTATGGTCACTGCATTTTGGTCAGGACTAAATAAGAAATATATAGGGATAGCTAAGGGTTACTGGGTATTAAATAGGAAAACCTTTTATTTTCAAAATATTTTTTCACAATTGCACATTGTGCTTAGTGCTCCTAAGACACACATTGGAACTTGGCTGTCTAACTGGCAGGACAGGCCTGTAGATTATAGCAGATAGTAGGTCTGTCAGTGCCCCCTCTCAGTTGATTGGAGCAATGTTTGGTGGGAGGGGGGGTATTGTAGGTATGAAATTCAGGAGCAAGTCTGTCCAATCCAGGAGCCATCAGGATTTTTTTTAGGAGCCAGCTCTATTGACAAAAACTAGAGAAATTCTCAAAAGGACCAGCTGTCATATTTAAGGAGAAATGGCTAATTGAAACCTTTGTCCAACCCTAATCTAAACTGACCAATCCCCTTGCAACTCTGATGGTGCCATTGCAAAGTTATGACCCTCCTTGCTAATGAAATTGGTTAGGCTTGAGGTCTTCTTTGTCTGCTAAAATTATCCTGATGGTTAGGATCACCCCACTTGCCTCATACAGGATTGAATATTGCTTAGATTGTAGCACTTGCAAGTAACACTGTACATATTCATTATCGTGAATAAACTGTATTCTAACCTACAGAGAATCATTAGGTGTTATTCTGTTTTCAGATTGAATGTGGAGCCAAAGAAGTGGCCATATTTGGAGCAGCTTCTGAGCTTTTTAGTAAAAAGAATATTAACTGCTCCATAGAGGAAAGTTTGCAGAGATTCAAAGCCGTTACTGATGCAGCTAAAGAAGCCAATATACCTGTGCGAGGGTAAGAACCCCTTTTTTAAATGAAAAAAGTGATGTCACCCATTTTTATTATTGCCCTATTCAAGGGAGTTCACTAACTGTGTGCAATGCATCTATCTGTAAATTGAGATTTTTTTTTTCAGCTGCTGCTGATACATTTATCAGCTATTACCAGTTTTCAGCATCATATAAAAGCTCACTTCCTTGGATAACCCCATTAAATGATGATGTTTACAGTACAGGTATTCCTCACTTAACGACCGAGTTCCGCTCCTACGACCAGGTCGTTAAACAAATTGGTTGTTAAGTGAGGAACTCTATACAGTACTGTATAGCGTTGCAGATGTACAGTACCGAACAGTGTACTGTACATCGGGCAATGAAAATACTTACCGGGACCCGCAGTGAAGATCGGAGGACATCACTTCCGCCGGCGACGCGGCGCACTGACGCTGACACGCAAGGTCGGAGGTCGCTCGGCAGTCCGTCGTAAGTGCGAGTGGTCGCAAAGCAGGTAAGTCGGTAACCGAGGAATGTCTGTATTGCCTTAGCCTTACATGGCTGAGAATGACAAACAGGTCATCATGTAAAGCCAGCATCGTTGTTTTTTAAAACTGTCTGTTTGTACTTTGTATTGTGTATTTGAAAACAAAAGATTATATATTTCTATTCAATCTTATACATTCTTGACATATAATCATGGAACTCTCCCTACAAGTAACTGTGGAGAAATGTATTGGTACCCTTACAGTTCATTCAAACAATGCTTCATTCCTCCTGAAAAGTGATGACATTTAAATCAATTGTCTCATGTACACTTGCAATCCTTTAGGAGTGGAATAAAGCAAAGAAAGTGTGAAAAGAAATACATTGCATATTCTATAAAGATATTCTAAAATGGCCTGGACAGGTTTGTTAGTGTCCCTAGAAAAGATTAGAAATAATTGGATAATAGTGATATTTCACTAACTGCAGTTAGCATCACACGTGTCTTCCAGCTCTTTATCAGCCAGTCAATTTATTTAAATAGAGAAATGTATTCACTCTGCTGTTTTGGTTTCACCTTGTGACAACCTAAAGTTGGCTGAGGAGATCAGAAATAAAATTACAGACCAGCATGTCAAAGGTAAACGCTATAAAATCTCCAAGCAGCTGATGTTCTTGTGATTACAGTTGCAAATATTAGTAAAAAGTTTATGATCCATGGGAGTGTAGCCAACCTCCCGGACATGGCCGTAAGAGGAAAGTCAACCACAGGTTCAACAGAAGCATAGTGTAAATGGAGGCAAAGAGACAAAGGCATACTTTCAAAGAGATGCAAGCCAAACTCCACGGTCCTGGTACACCGCTGTCCAATCGCACCATCCATCGGTTTTTGGCTGAAAGAAGGAAGTCCATGTCGTGGGTCCTTCAACAGAATAATGACCCAAAACACACAGCTAAAAGCACATAAGAATGGCTAAGAACAAAACATTGGGCTATTCTAAAGTGGCCTTCTGTAAACTCTGAATAAGTCTGAATCCTTTTGAACATGGACAGTAAGAGCTAAAACATGCAATCTGGAGACTGCACCTTTCAAACCTAAGACAGCTGGTGCAGTTTGCTCAAGAAGAGTGCGCCAAACTACCTGTTGGCAGGTGCAGAGGACTCGGTGAGAGCTATAGAAATCACTTGTTTGCAGTGATTGCCTCTAAAGATTGTGTCACAAAATATTCGGTTAAGGGCCTCATCATTTATGTCCATACATTTTCGTTTGTTTTATTATTTGAAATATTCTGTTCAATAAAAAATGAGCAAAGTCTTCCTTTTATTATTTAAATCTGAAATAAACAATCATGAATGCCAATTACTTTGATCACTTTTTAATTATTCCAGAGAAAATTGTGATCATGGAAGGGCACCAACAAATTTGTCCATGTCTGTATATGTTATTTTTTTGTTACTTTTCTTTTTATTGAGTTATAAAAACAATCATTGTGGGTTTCTTGACATTTGTATCTGGTGACATTGCAGGTATGTGTCTTGTGTTCTTGGATGCCCATATGAAGGGAAGGTATCACCTAGTAAAGTGGCAGAGGTAATATTATGCATGCTCCCTTTTGCTAATGCTACACTGAGTTTCTTATCTTCTGCACACAGCACAGATATCAATTCAAGTTTTTTTGTTTATTATTCTTTTTTTCCCTTTAGGTGGCACACAAGATGTTCTCTATGGGTTGCTATGAGATTTCCTTAGGGGACACAATTGGTGTGGGGACACCAGGCAGTATGAGAGACATGTTGACTGCTGTCCTAGATGTTATTCCATCTAAAGCCTTAGCTGTTCACTGCCATGATACGTATGGGCAGGCTTTGGCTAATATACTTGTAGCTCTGCAGGTAACACTATGCTTTTAACCTGTCTAACGTCAGTAGTGTTCAAACATTCTTTTATTAAAGGTACACTTAGGCTGTTTTAGTGAGTACATGTTATGATCTGGCCTTGTAGCATTCACTCTAAAATAATTATTGTGGCATTGCCATTTAAACATGACTACTGTACAATGTTTTGATTTTTGCATCACCTGGCTGCAAACCAATTTCAGAATCGAAGGAGCCAAGTGAAAATGTGTTGGCCAGATAGTGACTGCATCCTTCCAGATGCAGTCACTGTTGGGGCATTTAGGCAGCTGTGAGTGCCGTCTGGCAGTGCAGATTCCGCTATCCACACTGTTTAGCGTGGATGGGGGAATCCAGTTATTTCTTTCATTTAGCATGTGGGGCTGATCAACAGAATTCTACACCTGTATGGCTAGCCTTAGTTATAATCTGATGTCTACAGTATGAGCTATACTGGCCATGGCTCATTAAGGGAGAAAGTGATTACACAGATTGAAAGACCTTGTCTTATTGTTTTTGTCTTCCTCCAAACAAACTGGTGCTGGAGGTACTGTATATGCAGATCGCCACCCGTTAACATCTCCTAGTCATAAGCACGGATAGTCTGTTCATGTTTGGTGAGTCACAGTCAGGCATGGATGCCAGCACATCCTTCTGTTCTCTAATGTCTTAGGCTAGACTGACTACCAATAGCTATATATGGAGTTTATTGTTTTCAGCCTGTCCCAAGACTGGTAAACTTCACTGGGAGTGAACTGTAAGGCAGCACTGTTGGTACCCTTTAAGCTGTTTAGTTTTGCCAATATATTCTGCAACACTTTACAGAGTGCATAAAAGCAAGCATATCAGTCCTTGAAAAACTGAAGGAGCTTACAATCAAATGTCTCAACTACACTCACCCACTGGGACCAGTTTGAGAGGAAGAATAAAAACAATTCCCAACAATTTATCATTTGTGCAAAAATTAGTTTGCTGCCTCACAGGGCAGCAATAGAATGTCAGCTATGAAGTCAGAGACATGTGTTATATTTCAATAATTTTTTCCAAAGGATGGCCATAAACAGCTCAATGCCACCCCATCCAAAATCAAATATTACTCTCAGGTGAGGATAGGGCCATTTAGGACTACTCTAGTTCAAAAATGAACTCCAACTATTGACCAATCATGTGTCTCTTTATGTCTGTGAAGGTTCTCATTCATCCAGGTCATGGTATATCTGTAAAAAATAAGTCAAGGCAAATGGACTGAATTGAATCTCATTCTGAATCGAGAAAGCTGCTTGGATGACCAGTGAAACGTCTTCAAGAAAAATACAGCAAGTCCAGTTGCCTTGATTTATTTTTTACAGATATGTGTCTCTTTAGTTCTTTGGGTGAGTAGCATGATGTACAATGGCTGATTCTGTGGCTACAGGGGATGGGGCGATGTCTCCTCACTCTACATTTTTAAAGGAAATATCTCCCTCTCTTTTGTCTCCTTAAGTTTAGGTTAAATTGTACATAATTCCCTATGTGCGTAGTGTTGCATGAGATCTAATCCAATCGCAATTGGAGGAACTTGCGTAAAACCATGATGATTTGAGTTGGAAAATGCTTCATTAGCTCTAAGCAGATTGTAACGAAGCTACATAATGCTCTGTACAGCAATCTGTTTGTTTAGAAGCTCTGTGTGGTGTGTTCCCTTATGTTTTCCATACAATTGTTTTCAGTTTGTACAATTTTGTGTGCCAACTTTGCATAAGAATGTCTTCCATTCCCAACAATTTTTAAAAGACAATTGTATTGTAAGACGTGATGTATGTGGTCACCACTAAAGGGTTTTTAGATATGAGATATAGATTTTTTTTTCTTGTTGTTCAGTTAAATATACATATGGCATTTCAAAATATAACATGATGGAATGATAATAATGTGCTGCTGAACAACATTTAGTTTGGCTTCTGGCATAATATCTCGATACACAGATGGTGTAGCTTCCCACACACATCCAAAGAATATATTTCTTCATTACTTAAGGCCATAAGAAAAGCTCTAATCAGAACAATTTACTGTGATAAAGGACCAGGTTCTTCTTTCTTACGTTGTTCTAAAAACAGGAGATCCTGTTGAGAACAGTCCTGAGCTGTTTTTACATGTTTAAGGGGAAACTATCTTTACATTTCACGTTCCATGACAAAGTCTTCATTATCCACTTACACTTCTGATGTTTCATTCCGCTGTGTGCTTCCGGTTATTTGACACTGTTGCTTTCTGTGTGACAGATGGGAATACATGTGGTGGATTCCTCGATTGCTGGCTTGGGAGGATGTCCTTATGCACAAGGAGCTTCTGGAAATGTGGCCACAGAAGATGTGGTATACATGCTTCAGGGCCTTGGCATTCACACGGTATGTAGAAATAACCTTTATTATTATGGCCCTGTCATATTGAGCCATTGTGCCCCTGCTGTCATCTTGTCTATAAAATGTAGCAGTGCTGCAGAGAGAACACTGTACATACACAGTATTCAGTAATAGGAGTGCCTTTTATAACCTACTCACACGTGTCTGTGTTTTGGATTTGGAAACTCAAATACCTTTTACTGACACTGGCTTGTTGGTCTGTACTGTGGTCAGCCATGGTAGATAAGGGATAAGCATATATCATCTTAATACAAGAGGCATGTGCTTTGTGTATTTGGGTTTGCAAAGGCATTTGGTGCACACAGAGTGGATTTCTATCTTTTTTGGCTACTAGGGGAATATATTTAAATTAAGGTTTCTATGCCTGGAGTTCAGCCTTAAAGTAATGCCCAGGTGATTTTGGCATTAGTTACGGCAGTCGTGCTGGCTGAAGCTAGTCCCGCCCAGAACTTGAATGGAGCTAGAGTAGTCCGGGGCCACCCCAGCGTGCATACAAATGCATTGCAAACTATGTTGCTGGAGAGGTTTAGAAGAGTATAAGAGTGGTGGGTAGGTGGTGGCTTGCCCCACCCCTCCCTACCAAGAACTTAAAAGGAAGTTGACTTAAACTCCCAGACCACCCCCAGCAACTATACAATATCCATTGCATGCTCTGGTGCTGGGAGGAGGGGGAGGGGGTAGGAGCAGAGTGTGCAGGGGTAGGCAGGCTTTGAAGTTTCAGGGTCGTGGCTGTAAGAGACATCTGATCATAGAAGGAGTGAGTTATAAGATGGAAACAATGAGCTCAGTGTGCTAATTATAAAGCAGTATGCATTATTCACATTTCAAAAGAAACTTCCTAAAGAATTGATCTGTAGCATATTGATCTGAGTCTTACTAGTTAAAAAGCAAACACTTTATTCAAACCTCAATAAAAGCCTCTTAAAGTGACCTTAAAAGAATTTTAAAAAGTACATGAAAAATTAGGCCTTTCATTCTTCAAACCGCTGGATAGAGAATTTTGGGCAGCCAAATGTGTCCTGCTGAGGTGCAACAGTCAATCCATAGAACCACAGTACTAAGTGAAAGTAGCTTCTTAACCACTCTCAATCCAGCCGTTATAATGGAACAGGAACAGCTGGGCGGCGACACCTCGCAGGACGAGCTGCTCTTTTTAAATGTCAATTTTGTTCTGTGCTTGTATGCATTCTCTAGTGCACGCTCCAGCACAGTACTTGGGATTGCACTGTTATTGGACAGCGCACTTAATGAAAAAAGGTACAGAGCCAATGAAAGTGGTCACTGTGACTAATGACAATCGGTTGTGAGAGCAAAGAGAGCTTCTTGATCACCAGCCAGAACCAGTGCCATCCAATACCAGTGCCATCTAGTCCCAATGTAATCCAAAATCAGTGCCAGCCATTACCAATGTATTTCAGAACCAGTGCCAGCCAGTACCAAATTAAAGAGGAACTGTTGGGATGTCATGAGAGCATTTGTACTAATGTGCAAGTATGCCTTGCACTTCATGGATGACATACTTTTCAGTTTGCCCTTCTCCAACACTGACAGCTCTGTGCTCTTCTTTGCTGCCGCTGCCATCTTCTCCTTCACTTCTTTCTCAACCATTTGGAAGCCACAGCTGACGTGACTTATGCGAATGTGCACTAGACTTGCATAATTCTGCCACCCAGCATGATTATCGACAGTTTATAGAACCTGACTGTTGTGACAGAACCCAAGGCATGGTAGTAGAGGGGGTCTACAATGCAGTTTGCGTGTAGCGCAGCAGTGAGAGAAGCCAGTCCAGAGTTTCTGTCTGGTCCAGCCAGTGCCTCACCAGCATTTAATGAGCAGCACCAGGTAGCCCCAGGGATTAGTTGGAAGTGAGCTGGAGAGTGGAGAGACCAGCAGCAGTCAGGGATACTGCAAACACTTATTTCTATGAGATGGAGAGGACTTATCTCAAAAAGGACTACAACTTAATTTGAAAGGCCTGTGCATCCATTTGCTTTGTTTTCCTTGGGAACAAGTGACATTGTTGCATTTAAGTTGTGCCTTTGTAAAAAAACGCTCAGTTGAGCAAGGACTTTTGTTTATTTTGCCTGTTGTGCCAGACCTATTAATAAAAAGGCAAAGAACTTTATTTTTGGACAATATTGCATTATTGTGTGGGGTTTCCAACTGTGAAGACTGTGTGGTTAAAGATCCCAGGTCACACTGTGTACACTGCACATGTGCTGCTAGCGGTATACAATTAAAAAAACATTGCTAGCAAACCGGTAAAGGAATATTTTGGCCAAAGGGACACACAATGTCTCGTATACCAAAAAAAGCTTCAACACAGAGAACTTGCTCATTGCAAGAATGAATAGAAAGATACGTTTATCAGTGTGCTGTCCTTCCTTCAATACCCACTCACAAGCTGGGGCCAGGACCTTAAAGGGACTCACTTTTACATGTGAAGAGACTGAGGAAATGCTTCTTCCTGCCTGCAACAGATGGGTGGCATCGTCTCAACCTAGTCAGTGTCGTCTGCTTATCTGCTTTGCGCATAATGAGCACATTTTAATGATAAATAGTAAATTGTGACATGCCAGGGATGTATTCTTGCAGAATTGTAAGGTTACTGATTGGTCCATTTTAATGATCTATTTTTTTTTTATTTTTTTTTTAGGGCATTGACTTGAAAAAGTTGACAGAGGCTGGAACATATATATGTAAATCTCTAGGAAGGAGAAGCAATTCAAAAGTTGCTCAAGCAACATGCAAACTGTGACCAGCAGAACTAATACAATATGCACCCTACATACAGCAATACCTCTAATGAGCTAAAAGACTTGTGTCTCTGGATCTCATGATGCTGGTGTATGGAAGATCTGCTGCTGCTTTCCACCATGTGACATAGTGGATTATGCACCATTGCCAAGCAATTTTAACTTTGCTGCCAGAAAAAAACTTGTCTAGGTTTCTAACAAATGAGAAAGCAGACTAGTACATGTATCACAGTATATTTACAGTAAATCTTGCTGGGAAATCAGACTGAAAGGAATGTCTAGGCTCCATTGCTTACTTTCTCCTAAAAATGCTGGATGTTGGACAGTCTCTGGTGTTGGTACTATCTAATCCACTAACCTGGAACAAACATGTAGTAACTGAAATTATAACTCTTTATCTACTTATTTGTTCCAAGACCGTGTTTCAAAAACGGGTCAAGCCATTGGAGCAGCAGGGAGCCAGGTAACCAGATTTTTTTAGATAGAGATCAGCAATGGCAGCCAACGTGTTTCCCTGAGCACAAGGTTTTCACTTTTAGGCTTTTTAGCCATGCCTATTGAGTAAGTGTTCCCCATTGATGGTAGTTGTTGGCTTTCTCTGGCTGTGAAACATGCCAGAATTCCTATAGAAAAACAATCCTCTTCTATTGCAGAGTTTTTTTTGGCAAAGGCAAATTGTATTTTCAGACTTGCAGCCATACATTTTGATGTGACCAGTCAGAAGATGGCCTGTATTCCAAATGTGCTCACAGGCCTATATCATGTAACACCTTGTAGTGGAAATCAGCGTATATAAGGGCTGTATCAGGAGGACCAGAGACTTGTTTCATTACTTATTTAATTAGAAACATGATGCAGTAAAACTGCAAGAAACTGCTAAAATAATAATAATAATTTGTGTCACTAGTCATGTTGCTTATTTTCCTTGGTTTGCAGCAATACTGTATCTCTTTAGACCACAGTGGAGAAATCACTTATTATTGGTCTCATATTATTGTAGTTTAATAAGTTGTGGACATTGGACATGCAACACATATACCAAAACTTCATTGAAGTAAACAGACGTGTAATATGCCCTATCCTGCCCCATTGCCACTCCCCTTCAAACATTCACTGGCATTAAATACAGCAGCTATTACAGGCCAGTTAAATCAACCTGACAACTAAAAAAATGTTTTTTTTAATAAAATATGTTCCTATCTAACCTCTTATTAACCCGTAGTTTACCCTAATCAGCCTTAATTAACTTATTTTTCGCCTTCTCCCTTTAGCTATTATTTCCCTTCTGATTATTATTTTTATTTTTCATTTTTATTTGGTTTTTAGTCAATTTTTTTTTAGTGTCACACTAAAAAAGTGCAAATTTGAAAATAATTTTGTTAATAACTTTGCAATGCCTTGTACCAGAATCATAACGTTAGTTTCATTTTAAATCAGACAAATTATAGAATAAAATGTATTTAAAAAAGTGCATTTTATTAGATACGCTACATTTTTTTTTCTCTATGGATTGCATTAAAAAGAAATCATTTTTGCAAGACATTATCACCAAAAACCTTGTTTGTCCTAAAAAAAAATTATACATGTGTTAAGGTGGCCTTACACTTATATCATTTTGTTTGAAAGTTTTCGTTGTGTGATAGTTCAAAAGTCATTACAATACCCCATCATAACATAGTCAGATGTCGATGTTGAATAATGTTTTTGACAATCATTGGAAGTATTCGTCCAGCCGGAAGCACTCATTTGACCTAGATAGCGAAAGTCATCGCTCGTTGGGACTATAAAATCGACAAACATTTGGGGAAAATATTCATTTGTTCATTGCAGTTTGCTGATCATCATGGAATACGAAAGATTCTAATGGGAAGACTGCCATTGGCATTGCAATGCTTGGTCTTCTGGCCATCCAAAAACACAAAGCAAAGGAAGCACAGAAAGCCTAGAATATGGAGTAAAAAATGGCTGCAAAATTGCAAAAACTCTTCACATACTGTATGGCCATGTTGCAAGAGTTAAAGGAGAGCAATCCTGATGATTTCAGAAACTATTTGAGGATGTCGGACGACTCATTTAAGATTATTTTCAAAATCATGTCACCCCTTATATACAAAAGAAGGATACTGTGCTTTGTAAAGCCAGTGCCAAACAAAGGGTTATTGTGTTTCTTAGCTACTGGGAAAAGTATGGAGGATCTACAGTTCTCTACAGGAATTTCATCGCAGTCAGTGGGACGTATCCTACCAGAAACGTGCAGCTGCAGTTGAAATTTTAAGGGAAGAATATTTTGCTCTCAGGGATCATATTGAAAGCCTTCCCCATGAAAAATTTGACCCCCAAACACAATTTTTTTTTACAGATTGTCATGTGGTCGGCGTGTGGTTGAGAATGCCTTTGGCATTATGGCAAACCGTTTTTGCATTTCCATACAGCAATCAACCTGTCCACCAAGAAGTCTGACATACTTGTGCACTGCTACTGTGCTCTACATAAACCTTTATGCCGCAAAACTACAGCCTATATGCCCCCTCAGCTTCTGGACCGCAAGGACATAGTGATTGGAGTCATGCAGCCAGGTTAGTCGAGAAATGAGTGTGTTGGACTTGACAATATAGCAACCCTTCCACCTCGTATGGCAGCTGCAACTGCACAGCAAAACATTAAATTACATGGACTACTATATGGGTTATGGTGCCGTAGCATGGTAAAATAGCACATACAATTATGTTTTATAAAAAAATGAACACGTCCATGTGCAAATATTGCATGTTTTGTAAACATATGTACATACTTTGCGTTATTGAATAAAACTGAAACACTTACCAGAGTCGCCTTGGCATAGGCACTTTTACATAACTCAGCAAGCTTGTTGTAAGCTTCATTGCGCTTGTTGCGGTCGGAATATTTATCTTCCAGAGACATGGCATATCCCTGTACATACCAATAAAGTGTGCAGAAAGTCAGGGGATGTAAATTTATCAGCCATAGTTATCTGGGGGGGAAACGAGACAGAGATATGTGTACCTATTTTATGTACGGAAATAGGTACACATATTTATGTACCTCGATGAATGTGTACACAAATTGATGCATTTTGCAGTGCCTTGTGTAGCACTGTTGATTTGAATGTGTATTCCTGTCTACTTTTAGGTGTCAATAATATGTCTTTCTTTCACTTGTGGAAGTGTATTGCATGTCTAGCGTTGCTGTGCTTGAATTACAGGCAAATTGGATGTAATGTTAGAAAACATTGAAGATGTTAATGTGGAGTGACTTGTAAACTGTGATATTTGTTACCGATACCTGTAATTTTAGGTGACAAACAACAGAGCAAGGTTAGACAAGCAATACATATAACAGCACTAAAGACAAAACACATTTTACAAGTTAGTCCACATTAACATCTTCAATATTTTCTAACATTACATCCAGTTTGCACCAGTATTTACTATAGCACATGAAGTGACAGAAAAATGGAAACACTGGAGTGTGTATTTACCACAAATAACTATCCGCCTATCTACACCAGCATCTACAGCACCAACAAGGAAAGCATATGTTTCAGTTTATGACAACGAACGATCGTGACAACGAACGTTCTACTTCCGGGTCGGTGCACATGCTGCACTTTGCTATTTAAATGATTAATTGACGAAGGCAAACCCCAGTGACTGATAAAAATATGTTTGAATGAGCCAGACTTTTTGGAAATATGTATGCACGTAGTTACATGTGAAAAAAGACACATGTCCATCAAGTTCAACCTATAGAGATATGAAAAGAAAAAAAAAAAGCCTAAACAGAACGCTATGCCCACAATTACTCAGTTGATCGAAAACAAAAATATTTCTTGTACCATCAACGCATAGAATATTGTTAGAACATTCATTTGTATGCGGTTTTCAAACAAAGTTCTATCAGTGCATGGCCACCTTTTAATTGCCTAAGTAATGACAAAGTTATTGCAGAATAAACAGGTCCATAGCAGAGATGTAAAAATTGCTCTAGCCCATAGGTCAGTGGTTCTCAACCTGTGGGTCGCGCCCCAAAAGTGGGTCCCAACTCACTGATGAGGGGGTCGCAGCATCCACTTCTGCTGCGCTAGGTGAGCGGCTCCTCAGCCTCCTCCTAGCGCGTCAGTGTCAGTCAGCGGGAGGACAGCAAAGGCCGTGAATATAAAAGTGCCGCTGTACACACTCCCTGGCCGCTGCAGTGACATCTAGTGGCCAGGGGGTGTGTACAGCAGGGCTTTTCTATTCACAGCCGCTGCTGTCCTCCCGCCTCCCATAAAAAGTGAGCTCTGCAGGAGGCGGGCATCTAAGCAGTGCTGGGGCTGAGAAGGCTGCATGGAGACAGAGCAGGTAGCGGGGGCTGGTGAGGGCTTGCATTCTTGTGAGTGTGCTTTTTTTAGTCCCAAGTTCAGCGCCTTACTAATTCTGGTGTCCAGCGCTCCGTTGGGGTTCACCACAACTTGGCAAATGTTACCAAGGGGTCCCGGCCCTAGAAAGGTTGAGAACCACTGTCATAGGTGATAGAGAGCTGAATTGGTTAAAACATCTCACTACCAAACTACCAACAATTTTAATCCAAGCACTCTTGGAACCCATTATGCTTAACCTTTGTTTTACACCTTGTTACTCCTTAAATGCTGAGCTTGGAGGACCGAGTGGGACTACTACAGTTGAACATTAGGACATGCAATGCCTCCCAGCAAACCAGAAAACACACTATCACAATATCCTTTAACTGCCAAAGGGTTTGTAATTCCTTTTAGCCCATCTTGCAATGCACACTGCCATATTGCTCATTCACACAGATGACACTGCTTTCTACAGCTTGGCAGCTTACCGTGCCTCCTTTTTGTCCAGTGAGCAGAAACAGTAGCAGGAGTGTGTAAATCACAACAATGGATCACAACTACTTTGGAAGGGAAAACAATTCACATTTTCTGTATATATTTTACTTTTAGCTGTTTTCTACTTTAAATGTGTGTCTCATGTTAAACTCATTGACTTACAATATAGTCATACATTATTTTTGTATGTTATGTTTATACGAATGTTTACAGGTCACCTTCCTACTATGAATATTCTATATACCCCTGAATCTGACCTGCCTGCATGCAAAAAGCAATC